GCATGATCGCATCAGGCTTATCAATATACTTCTACAGATCCTGCAGTGATTTTACTTAGTATATAAATTATTTATGAATAAATTCATGAAATTATTTACTAGCTACGCCACTGCTGGCCCACTTCAAGCACTGGTGTTGTATTATTAATGGAAGCCTCATTAGACACCAACCATGCCTTGACTGATTGATTATATTTGGGGTGAAGGGGGAAATGGCACTCGGTCTGTCACAGTGAAATTTCGCCTGACAATTAACTGTCACACACGTTATTGCGGCAGTTCTGATTTAACTTAGAAAGCATTTCAATCTAAATGCAAGCCATGATAAGCAGAGGTGAAGCATAAACTGCATAGAAATCCACCGAAATCGTAATCCCCAACCTCCGAGGAGGAAAAAACAAAGAAACCGTCCTCTCAACTCCAAGTTCCTCCGAGTTCAGCAAGTGCCGTCAAATCAAAATGGCTGCCCACAGCATCAGCAGTAAAAAAAAAATTATATTATATATATAATTCTACATATGTATGTGTGTGTGTGTGTATATATATATATATATATATATATATATATATATAAAACACACAAATTAACCTTCTAAATGAGTTATACTGTATATACAAGTATTTGCTTTAGATCTATCAACATACAGACTTTTCCGCTTGTTAAATCTGTAAGATTGATGATAGTTTGCTGTTTTAAGGAGGAAAATACACATCACTCATCACAGTTAGCTGGCTAGCTTGTTGCTAACAAAAGAACTGTGAACATGAAGGTATCTATGTTTTTTCCCCACATTGTATTAGCTTGAATGCACCGAGGTCATAAATGATGTCATTATGAAAATTATGTCATAAGTGGGTTTGGTGCACAGCTTAGAGGCATTAAACTGATGAGCTGTACTTGAGCCAAAGAGAAATAACAGACACAGAGCTGAGGCGTGAGCAGAAACATGCATTTCATGTTTGTGAACTTCATTACGAGAGAAACAGACACGTCATTGTACACACAATATTATATGATACACAGCTGATTACATTTTTCATGGCTTAACTTCAACAACAACCTTGCTGTGACTCACAGCTGACTTGTCAGTTGTTTAACAGCTGTTGTCCAGCACTGTAGCTAACACATGCTAACACGCTAATGGTTGGCCTTTTGGATAACAATTTTCCCCTGCATTTACTGGATCAAGCATGAGTTTTTACAGCTGTTGGTGTTCTAGCTGTAAACGAATCAGAGGCATGAGGTAGCCTGTACAGTGGAAAAGATAAATATCTTCTTAGTGATGTGAGGTTAAAGAGTTGTATTCACCGTACACATGCATGACGCTGTCCTCTGGAACGTGCAAGCGGCTCCGGTCCAAAGGTATCATCAAAGACAATCATCTATTTTGGGGCGTTATTTTTCACTTTTTTTTACTTTAGGTAAATCCTCATACCCGTTTGATCTTAATTATATATGTACTGTTATCTGCACTGACCTATCTAATAAAAAATAACACTGTGTAGCATGTCAAATGATTTTTTTCTTTACATTAGAGTAGTGATGGATTTTAAAGGAAGACTGTGACCACTGAAAGATTAAAAAAATGGCAAAAATAGTTACAAAATAGTTACCAAAGTTTTTGTATATTAGTGTGCGTGTGCATGCATATATATGCATATATGTATGTATGTATATATGTGTGTGCGTGTGTGTGTGTCTATATAGTGTATGTTTATGTTAATGTCCCTTGTCATTGTGTTGTCAGTGCACACTTATTGTGAAAAATCTAAACTATGGACATGCCTGACTCTTAATTTTTCTTAAATAATAGAAATATTAAACTGAAAAATCAAGATTTCAGCAAAAAAATCAGCATCAGTTATTAGAATTGTAGGAGTCCTGATTATACTCAAATGCAGAAGAGAGGAATTTAAGAAGAATTTAAACAGAATGTTGCAAACAGTGTTGCCAGGTTTGTGACTTTCCTGCAAAATTTGCCTGTCGGTTGATTTCATTTTCCTTTCTTCTCTAAAGGTTTGGGGTTGGGCATTTTCGCATAGGCCTATTTTGACTATTACATTTATATAGTAAAACCTATTCTCACTTGAATAAAATAAAAATGCACACATCCTCCACACGGCAACCCTACAATCACCACAAATACACATTACGACAGAAACCCCTAAGTATCCCAGCATGCAGTAGCAGCCTCATGCACGTGCCTCTTGTTCCTATTCTCAGTCTAGCTCTGTATTGTATACTATATAAACCGTATTACCCTGAGTAGCACAGTGCTACAGCGGATAGTGATGCCACCTCACAACTCCAGGGTCCTGGGTTCAATCCTGAGCTCAGGTTACTGTCTACGTACGGAGTTTTGCATGTTCTCCCCCTGATCACATGAGTTTGCTCTGGGTTTCCGGCCATTTCACAAACACATGCTAGTAGGTGGATTAACTAAATTCCCCTGAAGTGTGAGTGAGTGTGAATGTGTTTGTATGATGCCCTGCTATGGACTGGTGTCTCAGTCAGGGGGGATTTCAGCATTATTTCTTTCTGTCTGGGGTCTAAATCTACCTCCAGATACTAAATCTTCATCTGGGGTTCTATAAAGCTGCTGATGCCTATTGTTAAAAACACTGTACAAATAAATTTTAATTCAGTTTAATTTGGTATTTCAAATGTAATTTAACAAGCACACACACACACACACACAAACAAACACACAGCTTTTGAGGCTCAAGGAGGTGAAACCAGTAGATAATATTCCTGGGAACGCTGGGTTTGAGGTGGGAATACACTCTAGATGGAATACTAGTCCATCACAAGGCATCATGCACGTGTGTGCGCACACACACACACATAGCTTTTGAGGTTCTAGGAGGTGAAACAAGTAGACAATATTCCTGGGAACACTGGGTTTGAGGTGGGAATACACTCTAGATGGGATACCAGTCCATCACAGGGCACCATGCATGTGCGCGTGCGCATGTACGTACACACACACACACACACACACACACACACACACACACACACATCAGGGCTGACCCTGTGCTCTGACCCCAGCTTCCTAACAAGCTGGGATATGGGATATAAAAATTTCACTGTGCTTTAAAGTATATGTGACAAATAAAGGCTTTGGCTTCTTCATACACACATGCAGCTTTTAAGGTAAAACAAGTAGATAATATTCCTGGGAACACTGGGTGTGAGGTGGGAATACACTCTAGATGGGATACCAGTCCATCACAGGGCACCGTGCACACACACACACACACACACAATCACAAGTAGGGGGAATTTAGAGTCGCCCATCTACATACCGGCATGTTTTTGGATAGCGGGAGGAAACCGGAGAACACCGGGAGAACATGCGAAACAAATACTCATCACTATCAAAACTGATAATTTCCCAGCATGCACTAGCAGCCACATGAAGCGGTCTCTCATGCACATGTCTCTTATTCCTATTCACAATATATAAAAATATTTAAAAAAATGGGCTACACCCATCTCATGCAAAGGTGGCTTGCTGTACTAAACAATAATACAAATTTTGACCATATTAGGATCATTTTAGAATTGAGCTATTTAGAGAAACAGCTGATTTAAATATTACTTCATTCATTTTTATATGTCTTTGTAATATGATTCTGATATGAGCTGGTCTTAACCATGATCCTGGCTGATTTTGGAATGAACACCTGGCAACCCTGTCCACAGGAAGCGACCTGTGCATATTTCTTAATGATTAATATCCTATGAAATGAATGAGTGTAATAAACAGCTGTAATAGCTTGTTGTTAAGACATTTCTCGACCCTGGCTGAGACTACAGAGCCCAAACAAAGCGGTGCTTTTTGCTGAATGATGCATATGCATCCATTTTCTGCTCGCAGGTGAAACACTGGATCGGATAGAGCCGTGTTTTAGAAAACAATGCAAGCATTTAGCAACGCTGCTCCTTTAATGTCCGCCGACATTTAATGAATTATTCATCCTATCAGGATAAGCGTTCAACTGAGAGAGAGATAGAGAGAGGGAGAGCTCAATCTATTTCTGACAAGAAACAGCAGGAAAAAATACCCAAGGAAACCACAAACAAAGCTGAACTTACGTGGAAATGTATCCGGAGTTAAAAGGGCGTCAACATCCCCTCAACACAACATGGAAATGTATATCTGTTAGCTGCTAATCCGCATAAAAGTAAACAATAAACAATACCGCCTTTTTAAACGCCAAGCCTTTCTCTCCAGCACTGCGAGCAAAAAGCAGCCCGAGATTGAAGCAGGGAAGCAGGGAAGGAGGGGAGAGGTGGGCGTGGCTAAAGGGATGTTGTGATATAATTGGCTAACGCGCCACTAGGAGAAGTTGGAACAACCAATAAAACGGCGTCGTTTGGAATATGCAAATATGACTCAGTGCATTTGGTGTCGTCTATACTGCAGAGGCATATGGTCTGAGTCCAACGCCCAGGCCTGCTCAAAGCAGTCATCCTCAATCCAATCACTTCTACTGCATTCTCTTCTGTCCCACATCCACAGGGGTAGCTTTGGGGTGTGGGGAATTTCCATCAAGTGTTAAAGGTGCACTAGTCGTTTTTATTCTTTATTTGTATAAAAAAATTGGAACATACACTATGTAGAACATGATTAAGGTAGATTAAGTCATGGTCTTAGCAAAACTGAATAAAGCAGACCTCCGGTCCGGAATGCTTGTGTGTTTGGACGCGCCTACTGTAAGTCGTTTTATAGACACGCTAGTCTACGAGCCACCGTACACATTGGGGGAAGAGCATCATGAAATATAGGCAGGAATACTTCAAATATCAAACCCGCCTAACTGTTAGGGACCTAAAGACTCTGCGATAGCAGATCACCTTCCATTGTCCACGTATTGATTTGGCACAGGTTTTACACCAGATGCCCTTCCTGACACAACCCTCCCCACTTATCTAGGCTTGGGACCAGTGCTGAGAGCAGACTAGCTTGTGTACCACCGGTGGCTGGGGTTAACACCCAGCATGGGGCTCAAACCCACGATCCTGAACTCAAGAGTCCCATGTCCTACCAACTGAGCTAGCCAGTCACTGTTAGAGAACTAAAGACTAATCTTACCTAATGCACCTTTAAATGTTTATTCATTTATATCATTTTTAAACAACCATTGTTGGTTATTCCATAACTTCAGTTACAGGTTGACAGCCATAGAGGCAAAAACAAAGAGATATGAATGTTAAAAGCCATTGAATTCTTAATGAGAACCCAGAAGATTTAATAATTCGGTATGCTAAATCCACTTAAGAAAAAATATAATAAGTTATCAAGCCTGGAATGAGCGAATTTTGCGAAATGATTTCAGCTGAACACTGGAAGGAGCAACATGAATACAGTTTTGATCTGAAAACTGAAACTCTGAAAACTGATTTATTCAATCTGAAAATGATGATTGATTTATTTTTAAACATGAATTTTTAAAATGTGAATCTTAGAACATGGAAATAAAATTCTCCAAATATGAATGAATTCAGAAGAAATAACAACAAAAGTTTGGTGCTGGAAGTAATCTAGTGTTCCAGTGCTATGAATTCAATGATATTTTTAAAAAAATTAATTTTAAAATTTCATTATTAAGAATTTAATCTTAACACTCACATTGTGTGTGAGATATTTTCCCCTCTCCGTTTACCTAGTAACAGAATAAAAATCTGTGAATTTTATGTACAATAACCTACATACTCATGTCTACTGCAATAAAATGCAAAAGATCAGTGGTTCACATAGTATTTCCTATGTTACAAATGATAGTAAATTGTAGTGTAAATGATTCGCATGTTAAATTACAAGCACTATACCCTGAAAAAAACGTCTTGGTTAATATTTAAGGTCGGCAGCCATTATCGCCTCTCAACTCCAGGGTCCCCGGTTCGATCCGGAGCTTGGGTTATTGTCTGTGTTTTGAGTTTTGCATGTTCTCCCTATATCCATGTTGGTTTCCTCCAGGTACTCCGGTTTTATTCCACCTCCTAAACACATGCAGTTAGGTGGATTGGCTAAGCTAAATTGCCCCTAGGTGTGAATGTGCATGTGCATCCCATCCAGGGTGTATCTCCGCCTTGCATCCAGTGTTCCTGGGATTCTAACCTAGACAAAATGGTTACTGAAGATAACTGAATGAATAATGAATGTTAATATTTAGCATTAAACCTTTATCACATAATAGATCAAGTACCTTTAGCAGCAACACACTAGACATACATAGCCAAAGTAAAAGAAAGAGAAATTCTACGAAGGTACAGCAGATAAATTAGCACTTTATTAAAGAAAATGTGTTGTCTGTGTGCTTTTCTTACTATATTACAGTACCTCCCCAACAGAGTTTTTTTTAGACTGATAGTATTCTTAGTCCGTGACCTAGTGAACCAGTATCAGGATGTTAGAGACTTCAGAGTCTGATAGAGACTTCAGAGCACTTCTGTAAGTCGCTCTGGATAAGGGCGTCTGCCAAACGCCATAAATGCAAATGTAGACCTGACACATCTCTGTGTCCTCTCTTGAATAGAAAAAAATCCATTTAAAACCGATGTCTGTAACACTCATCATCTGACACACACCCACTGAGGTCAGGAAGGTGGGAGTCACTGCACTGAGCTGAGACTGAAGAGATAAACGAGAAGAGGGAAAGTAACAGGAGCATGGTGAGATATAATGAGCCGGTGGAGTCTGGAATGTCTATAGTCTATAGTGACGGGTTGGGGGAGGTGAAGACAGTCATCTCAGGCTTTTGAGGAGGAGGTGGTGGTTGCTATGGAGACCGCATCCAGACAGATGGTAAGAGCCAGCCGTCTTACTTCACCACGTCAGCAGATTACACTGTGACACAGACTGATCATTACTGCATGTAAGTGATTTAAGGCTAAAGATGCGTGCAGCAATAATAAAGGATATTTCTGCACTGTATAACTGGATTTAAAAAAATTGTAAATGATCATTGGATGGTGATGACATCCATCCATCCATTTTCCGTAGTGATTATCCTACACAGGGTCACAGGGTAGCCTGGAGCCTATCCCAGGGGGACTCAGGGCACAATCTCCACAAGGTAGGGGACACATTGGACGGGGTGCCAACCCATCGTAGGGCATAATCACACACACACTCATACGCTACTGACAATTTGGAAATGACAATCAGCCTACAATGCATGTCTTTGGACTGAGGGAGGAAACCGGAGTACCTGGAGGAAACCCCCGGAGCAGGGGGAAAACATGCAAACTCCACACACACACACACACACACACACACAGGGCGGAAGTGGGAGGTGCGAGGCAACAGTGCTAACCACTGAACCACCATGCCCCCTGGTGATGACATACTGTATCTAAAATGTACAAAGAGAATTAAATCTAGGGCTGTATAGGCTACTTTAGTACATTTGTGAATATCGTTAAACAAAATGCATTGTTATATTTAAAAAAACAATCAAAATATTTATTATTAACAACGTCTCAAGACGTAGTTGTTCTTCCCAAGAAAAAAGTCTTATTAACTCATTTTTGCTCAAAGACTTAAAAGAGTGCAATAAGGACATTTTTGGATTTCCATGGGATTCCCATTAAAATCTATGTTTACAGTTCACCATGAAAGCATCACATAAACCTTATAGGTCATGCTATGGTGCATTCAGTGGAAATCCATCCATTTTCTGTAAAGCTTATCCTACACGGGTCATGGGGGAGCCTGGGGCCTATCCCAGGGGATTCGGGGAAAAGGTGAGGGACACCCTAGACGGGGTGCCAAACCATTGCAGGGCAGAATCGCACATTACGGACAATGTGGAAATGTCAATCAGACTACAATGCATGTCTTTCGACTGGGGAAGGAAACCAGAGTACCTGGAGGAAACCCCTGAAACATGTGGAGAACATGCAAACTCCATGCACACAGGACGGAGGCAGGATTCGAATCCCCAACCCTGGAGGTGCGACGCAAACATGCTAACCACTAAGCCACCATGCCCCTCATAGAAAATCATAATGTATATAAGAAATCCAATGAAAATTCATGATACTTTCACTTAGCCTGCCATGTAAAGACCCTTAAAGCCCAGAATGTAAAAATATGTGAAAATATGCTGGTAGGTGGATTAGTGACTCTAAATTGCCCCTAGGTGTTAATGAATGTGTGAAAAAGTGTGCGTGTTTGTGATGCCCTCTATCCTTCCCTCATGCCCAGTGTTCCAGGGATAATCTCCTGCAGTTTTAACCAGGATACAGCGGATAAAGGAGATGAATAAATTAATGACTGACCCATAAAATCCAGTTGACTTATGGGATAACATTAATGTACTATCAGTGTGTGCCAATTCACCATGGGATGCCAATTATACAAATTTAAACAAACAAATGCAAGAAAAATTTCAAAGTCACCTCAAATCTCATATATATCCATAATTTTACCATACGTTACAGTAGTCCAGTGCCAGTTTTCTCTTTCAGCTCATGTGAGATGTGAGACAAATGCACTTATTATGTATGTGGTCCAAAACAATTGTTACTGTAAATGAAACATAAAAAAAATGAAAATAATGTATACAATTCATATATATATATATATATATATATATATATATATATATATATATATATATATATATATATATATATATATACACACACACAGTACTGTGCAAAAGTCTTAGGGACGTGCAAAGAAATGCTGTAGAGCAAAGACGCCTTCAAATATAATGAAACTAAATGTTTCTACATTAAAAAGGTACTATAAAGAGCAGTAAACAGTAATAAATGAAACAAAGTCAATATTTGGTGTGACGATCCTTTGCTTTTAAAAAGAAAAAAGTAGTCTCAGGTACAGTGTGTGCAGTTTTATAAGGAAATGAGCTGTACGTTTTACTGAGCATCTTGCAGAAGCAGCCACAGTTCTTCTGGAGACTTTGACTGTCACACTTGCTTCTTATTTTTGCAGCAAAACCCAGCAGCCTTCATTATGTTTTTTTTGTCTGAAAAGTGGTCTCATGTAATATGCTGCTTTCTTTACTGACATACAAACATTTTTCTGTAACATTTCATTTTGTGCTGGAAAACTAATGTTTGGAAATCTAAAATATTTTTGTACTGAATCAATAATGTAGAAGTCATAAAATAAAAATCTATAACAAAGTTTGTACTAAAAAAATAGGGTGCCTAAGACTTTTGCACAGTACTGTATACATATATATATATATATATATATATATATATATATATATATATATATATATATATATATATATATATATATATATATATATAAAACCCTTTTGGACATTTTGTCTCTTCAGAGCTGGACTCAGTGGAAACAGATCTCAGTACTAAAGGACATTATATAATTCCTGTGTGAACATAATAGAAACAGAATACATCTTTAACTTTGCTGTTTTAATGCTTGGTCTAGAAAATTAAAATATTTTAGAAATAAATATCCACAGTGCTTATCCAGGTGGATGTAGTCCAGATTTCTACTTTAGATACATTTGTATGAATAGAAAGACATGCACATGACAAATATCTGATATCGACATTAGTCCAGAATCCTTGTATAAAACTAGAGTAAAACATAAGAACATAAGAATCCAGTGCGACATTTACCAGGGTATTGAAAAAACTGGGGACACACATCAATACCACACAGTTAAAGAAAACACCCTTGCTTTCTGCCTTCAGTATTATATACACAATATAATCTGCAACATCCTATAAATATATTATAACATTTATTTTAAACATGTAACCCTTGTTCATAACTGTTTGTCCACCTCTTCAGATTTTACACAGATACCGGTGTATAATTTATTTTCAGATCTACAGTCTGTCTTTTATTTATCTTGGTGCTGATCAGTATAAACAATAGAGTCCCAAAATGGAAACGGAGTCTTTCCCATGGTTAGGAATCCAAAATATGTGTATCCACAGTGAACAGCTATAAATATCATGTTTTGGTTCAGATTTACAGACAGACTTTTCACGTCTCACCTTAACATGACCCAGAGTATCATGTAATAAGCAAAAGTAAGTGTTTTAAAAACGACTG